TCTGAGCTGGACGGCCGGCCGAATGCTGAGGAGGCGATACAGTGGGTCGTGCCCGGGAAAAGGAGAGCATGCTAGGCCAGGAGGGATGGGACGGGGGGGAGGGAAACCAGCCATGCCGGGATGCATCCGGCCACGTGGGACCTCGGCGAGTTAGCGGGCGCCTGGTTGAAGAGGGACGGTTGCCATCTCCGGGGCATGGTGCGCGTGCCCACAGAGAGGGCTCTGAGTGCCGCCTTTGGCACCCATGCCATAGGTTCGCTACCACTATCCTAAGTGTACACTACACAATAGAAAGCAGGAACTCTGCGGCCCAACGGCATTTGTCTTCCCCCAGGTTTGACTAACAGGCACACCAAACGTCCCGCAGAGGGCCAATAATTTAATTAAAACCAGTTAACGCTGCTCAATAAATACACAAGGCGTATTTACTTGCCTTCCAGAAACCCCCCAAATCTAGAACTTCAGCCCAAGTTAAGGATGATTGTCCCTCGATTATCTAAGGCAGATCTGTCTGATGTCTTGTTGGGTTTTTTTTTTTCTTTCTTTTTCTTTCTTTACATAAAGCAATCACATAAAAATAATTATAAATAGAAAAATTTCCAAAGGATTTCCCGCCCTTGCTACCACGTCCCCCCCCCCATTCCATCATTCAGGAAATTGTAACCAAAAAGGGAGGGGGGAAGCAGAGGGATCTTTTTTTTTTCTTTTTTTGCACCCAGTTCTTTTTTTGGATTTTACAGTCTTTAGAATCTTTGGATATTTTACAAGGACTCCGGGTTGTATAAGCAGCCCGAAAAAGGGGGGAAAAAAAGAAAAAAAAGAAGTCAAACTCCAAAATCAACCCCCCCAAAATAAGGTGTAAAAGAGTCACCCGGAAAGATAATAAACCAAGAAAAGAAAAGAAAAAAGTCTGAACTTGCAGCTGGAAATTCTGTTTTTCTTCCCTGCATTTGTCGGAGCAAAGGAGAGATGTCTTTTGGGGGCATTTTGAAAAAATGTTCCAAAGGGAGCTTAATTTTCAAGACAGTCCTTTTATAAAGGAAAAATATGTCTTTGCTTCTTCACTGGGAACCAATGCAGTTCTGGAGAACAGGTCTGTAGGTAGAGAAAAGGGGAAAAAAATAAATAAATACTCTTAATCATCCATATTTCCTCCCATTTGTATTTGTTAGCTGTACTTTGTGTGCTGATCGTGCCCAAAGGCTCTGAGCAGCTAACATTCAAAGATATCAAAAATCTCAATAATATCATTAATAATAATAATAAGTAGTAGTAGTAGTAGAAGAAGAAGAGGAGGAGGAGGAGGAGGAGGAGGAGGAGGAGGAGGAGAAGAAGAAGAAGAAGAAGAAGAAGAAGAAGAAGAAGAAGAAGAAGA